GACTCAAATTATAGTTTAATTCCTAAAATTTAATCCAAACCTGATTAATACCCCATGTAAGGACTTATGATAAGGATCAATCATTTCTTTTGGAAAAAAATGCCTTCTAATGAGCACCGCAATCACATTGATTATTCTTCAAGTTAATAATTTGGTGAGATCATATTCAAAATAAATTAGGCAAAAAAATTTTTTGGTTCATACAGTCTAAATTTGATTGTGGCTTAGTTTCTAAACTATACCTTGATATAACTTACTCCATATAGTTTTAATTTCATTATAATTTAGTTTCTGAATTTTGACTTATCACAACTTATTCTTCCATAATTTTAATCATAATTAATATTTTTAATGACTTGTTTGTTTACTCATCCAAAAAGCATACGTGATATATGTGTAAAGATAATTTTTATTATTTAAATGTGCAAATTTTGTGAAAAGCAATTTTATTTTTGCAATCATTGGTTTTTTCCGCTTGGCATTGCTGCTTGATTATGCTTAATTCATGGTCAAAAAAAGATTATGCTCAATTAAAGCGATAAAGCAAGGCTGATTATTGCCCTTTCAAAGGCTGCATAAGTCTCGTTTTATGAGATTCCCAAATGATTTCTATCAAATTAGGAGAAGACATAAGGGCTATCACGTCAATAGCATGGGGATGGACACATTTTTCTATTTTAAAGTTCTTTTTGGGACATGCTGATTTACTAAAATTCATAAAATCTAAATTAAATATAATTAATATATGTATGTATTTATATATGTGCTCACACATATTCAATTGACTGTTTGTATTAGTGTATTAAATCATGCGGACTTTTATTAGGTAAAAAATGAATGAATTTCAATGTTTAAAATAGTAGACATTGTTTCTAAATTTACCATTCACAATGCATGTGGGTAATGCAATTTGTATTGTTTTTTTAAACCTCTGTTAATTATATCTTGACTATTTTTATTTTTATCTCTTCATCCTACTTTTTTAATTTTTGAATTTGACTTATGATTTTTTTATGTGAACTTTTGTTCAATCAACATATGGCTCAATAGATGGCCAAAAACAAAAACATTGTGTTCAATAAAAAGTTACTATTGAAAAACACCCTCCTGTGTAAGAAATTCTGTTTAAACATTTTCTAGATCTCATGTATTACACAAAAACAAATCTAGTTTTGACATGGACATTGAATTTAATTATAATTTTAAAATGCTTAAGCCAAAATATTATAATCCTATTAAATTCCTTTGAATGAACTTTCATTAATTTAATGGAGTATAATAATCTTGAAATCGCTCTTTTATTAATATATCAATACGGTATGAGTCTTATAATTTAGCATTTTTGCTATCTAAATTGTTGAGTTCACAAAATTTTGTAGAGAAAATTATAAATAATATGATATATATTAACCAGATATAATACGTATTTCTTAAGTTATAAATACACGAACCTACAATATATTTTTTCTGGCTCTTATTGTAGAGCCTATTTTAGAATAAATTTATGATCTTGGACCTCTTTTAAGCATAGTCATTGACCGTTTATAATATTTGACTTGGCAACATTGCACGTGTTTGGGGCAAAAAACTGAGAGAGAGAGAGAGATTTATTAATCACTCTTCTGGTCCCTTTTTATAAGAAATATCTCTCTCATAGTAGTGTTCATAAACGTAAGAAACAAAACCTCATCGCTTAAAATTTTAAACTTGTTTTTTTTTTTTTACTTTTATCCCATTAAATAAATGTATGTGACTTGTTCACTCTTTGCAATAAATTTTTACTAATTATTTCTCATATATTATCTTCAAAAACAAGAAAAATATGAATATATCTTATACAATTATTGTTTTTTTACTAAATTTTCGAACATTTTGAATATCATAATTTTGATAATTATTTTTTGTAGTAAAGTACGGAGGGGGTACTCATACTTTTTAATTTTAGTCCTATTACTATCTCTGGTGCTAATTATAAGAGCTAATTGATTAATTTGAAGAGATCAAGGAAGTAAGTTAAGTTAATTATTTGTTCTAAATAGTTGTTGTCTATCCTAAAATATCCTTATTAATCAAATATATTGGTTATAACTACTATTGTTAGAAGGACTGCTTTGAAAAAAAAAGTATAAATATGAAAAACAAAGTGGATTGAAATCTTATATTTAAAACTAAAATAAAAGTCAAATAAAATTTTATATTAAATACAAAAGGGAGTATAAATTACCAAGAGCAGAATTTAATTCCGATTTAGTGCTTTTATATGATTTATTATTGAATGCCGTGTTTTCTGTCTCCTTTCCTCATTCATTCATGTTCTTTAATAGTGGCAAAATTGAAAAAAAATATTTAGTTTTAATATAGATTTAATGAGTTAATTTTTTTTAACTTCCAATAAGATGATTGAAAAGTGATTGATAATAACAATCACTTTATCAAAATATGGGGAGAATAAAAAGTGCGTAATGTGAACTCCAAAGAAGGCTAAACATTTTTCAAAATTATTACTTTGATGCTTACTTTTTATTTTTTCCAAAACAAAAATTTCAAAGTTTCAAATAATCGCCGCCAAACCAAACACACTTTTTATGTAATATAGACAAGCTTCGGTGAGTGCACTGATTCTTTATGTCTCGAAGTCGAAACCCTTCACAGTCGCGGACGCCCATCACCTAAACATGGGGCCCACAAGCTTTGTTTGCTTCTCGCGCGTGTCGTTCACTCTCTTCTCAAGAGCGTGCTCGACCTCGAAATAATGTGCCATTTACTGTTTTGCATTTCCGCCGTTCTACTCCTCTCAAAGAATTAAGACAAATATACCTAATATTATTTATTTCTATTTAATTCCATTATTATTATCACCTACTTTCTCACATGACCACTCCTTCAGTATATTAATATATGGCCAAAGTAATGTACGTCACAAATAATTTTAAATAAATTTTTATTCCATTTTTATAAGTAGAAAAATTCATATTAAAAATTGTGAATTTTTTCCCGCAATGAAAATAATTCAGATACCCATCATATTCATAGAGTCCAACACGCAATTTATGATTAAGTAAAATTCAGTTAAATTTTATAGAGAATGCTTTATTATTACTAAATTTATTTAATTTTCACAACATTATATCTGTTTTGGCATTGGATCACATTAAGTTTGGCTTGGTGAAAAGGCCCTTGTATTATCAATTATGATAGATTAAAATATACCCTATTTTTCAGTATTATTTCAATGACAAAAGTTTCTGCTTTTTTTTGGATTAAACTACAAATTTAATTTGAAAATTTTTATGCCAAAAGTGTTTTTTGGCACAAATTGTTCAATAAGTCTAAAATGGTACCATTAAAAAAATGTTTGGAATAAATTTGTATCTTAAAATACTTCCAAGTGCCTAATATTTCCAAGTGAAAATTTTGACACAAATTGCATCTTAATCCTACTTTTTTTTTTAACAAAAGTTTCTCATTATATATATTATTTATTAATGAAAAAATTTGCAGTATTAAAATTGTTTTTTCAAGTTGTGTTTATTCAGCATAAATTCTTCCGAGGTACAAGTGACTTGGGGTACGCAATCAGCAAGTAACTCAATTTCTATGGATAACTAAAATTTATATAAAAAAATAAGATTAACTTAAATAAATCATTTCAAACATTTAATTTAATTTACTTTTTTATAAGTACTAATCAGCCCCTGGAATTAAGTATTAACTATTCAATAAAACCAAAAAGGAAAAGCATATAGCCAGATATAGTTATATTTATATAAAAAATAAGATTACATTATTTGCATTAATTAACAAACATAACTGCCTTAGCTAAGCCATGTCCATGCCTTGACAAACTTCCCACGAAAAAGCACACATACAAAATTAACCCAACAAGAATTTAAAAGAAAAACAAAAAAAAAACCAGAGAGATAGAGAGAAATATCTCATCATCATCTTCTTCGTATTTTCTCACTCTCACAGGCTCACTTTCTCAGTGATCAAGCGCATTAGGTCCAGTACAGTAATTCAATATATGGTTCCATACCCACTGAACCAAGAACCGCCGTCTGATCCCATTCATGTTATACGTGGCACCATCCTGTGCATCCATTACCTGTCCCGTGTACGACCCTCCACCTCCGGTACCGTATATCCCCTCACACAGATCGGCGATCTCCACAGGGAAACTCGGGTCCTGACCGGCGTACCAGGCGTTCGCCAACGGGTTGGTCGCCAGCTCCGCCATTTCGTGTGCTATCACACTTATCATTCCGTCGACTCCGACATCGCCATTCGGAGATTTGAACGGCTTCCGGTTGGGGATGAACGCCGGAACAGCGAATGGGTAAGCGCACTGACCTGGACAGAGCTTGGCGGAGTTTCCGACCCAAGCGTAGGGAAGCGTGTAGCCGACGAGAGACGGGAAGGTGAAATAGTGGAACCCACAGACTGATGTGCAGAAATCTTGAACGTACACGTCCTCGGAAGTGAGCAAGAGGTAGAGGCCGCTTCTGGGGTTAATGGGTAAGGGTTTGGTTCTCGCGGTTACGGCGGATTTGATCACTGACTGGATTGAAAGGCGCGTGAGGGACTTCCCGTGGGAGTAGAACCGGTCGTTCTTCTCCTCGCCGAGCCGGACAGATTTCGAAATGTTAGAGCCGGTTTGGTCGGTGTAGAGCTGTACGGTCCGCCACCATCCAGCGATGGAGGGGCTCTTGGAACGTACGGCAGAGATTGAGTTAATAAACTCACGGATGATCTTCTTCTGGTTTCTCTCCCACCGGCCGTACCAGATGGTGTGGACAGTGATGTTGGAGGTGAGAACTGGTCCCATGTGGTACTTAAGCTTGACGAACTCCGATGAGCCTTCGTACTTCTTGGAGTCGCCGTAGGTGTAGTCGGAGAGGTTGAATCTGTTGTTGCCGGGGGGATTCCAGGGCCTCCATCCGGCAACGAGGGTAGTGGTGGTGGTGAGGGAGAGAAGGAGGATAAGGGAGAGAATCGCCGCGGACGGTGGCGCCGGAAGGCGAGGGAGGATAGAGGATTGGCACATTTTGGGTTTGGAAGGAGAAGGGTGTGGGGTTGAGAAGAGCCGAGTGAGCTCCCGACTATGGCGAAGTAAAAGGGACGAGGATATCCTCTTTTATATTCAACACAAAACCCTTCGCCTGTTCCAATTTTTTGAAATTTTAAAAAGCACGCACCGGTCAGTCGTGCTCAAAACATAACATCAAAAACCTTTATTTTTTTAAATTTTTTTTACTCTAAATAATTGACTTAATTGCAATCAAGTTCTATAAAACTATTAGAGTATCGGACTCCACTTAATAAAATAAGATGAAACAGCGGTATGCAAATTTTTTTAATTAGTATTTATGTATGTATGTAAATATTGTAATTGTTGTTAGAGAAAATTATAATAAAATTTTAAGAAGAGAATACGATTACGAAAAAGTCTCATGACAACAAATAAACAACATGTCATGTATCTTAGCTTCTTCTAAATTAAAAGGAAAAAAAGACGAGTAGGCTTTATACTAAATAACCGTCTAAAATTTTTTATCTTAACATTAGTTCTATTTTTATTTTCATAATTTTTATCTAATTATTTTCAAATTTTATGTATTTTTCATTATTATGTTATTTTATAAAAAATATGACATGAGTAGTAACAATATTTTTGAATGTTTGTGTATTATTACTATCTCTAATTTTTAATAGATAATAAAAAAATTAGTTAAATTAATTATTTATAATTTTGTCTTTTATAAAATATAGCTATCAATTATGTGTATTCAGATTACTTCTTTATAAAAATTTATTAATACGTGCAATCACTATAAAAATTACTTAAAGGTAAAATAGATTAATATTGAAAATAAAATAAATAAGGTTCTAATATTTAAAACCAGATTAAATATTCAATTAATCTTTATATTAAAAATCAGAAATAGTAATATTTTTGTTTTCAATTTTTGTGAATAACCCCTTATAATAGTCGTTTTGTAATACAAATGACATAAAAATAACACAGAATTATTACTAACAAAATGGATAGTTTTAAATTATAATTTTTATGAATTTAATACCATCTCTATTATTTAATATAAAAAATAATTAACTAATTTAAATAAATTTAAAAATTATTTAAATTAATTAATTATAATAAATATCAACTTGATTTTTCTAAACCATTATTTTTTTTATCACGACTATAATTAGATAAAAACCCATTAATATACACAATCAAGATGAATATTTTGGAGAATGCATTATAAATTTAAGAGACAAACTTGATTGAGATTTTATATTTAAAATATAATCCTAACCTTGATTAATTTTTATATTAAACACTGAAAGTAGTACTGTCTCTGATTTTAACTATAAGACCAATTTTATAATACAGTTTACATTATAAAATGAGTCTTATATTTATGGCTAGAGGAGTATTATGTTTCATATAAGAATTTTATTTAAAAAAGATAATTTTTACATCAAGCTTTAAAATGTGGCTTAGTTTCATAGTCTATGCATGTGGCATTTCAAGCTATACTAGCTCTTGTTCTTAATATAAGAACAAGTCGACTAATTTGAATAAATTAAAGAAGTTTGTCAAATTAGTTATTTGTAATAGATAAGTGTTATATTTTTTCATAATACCTTTGCTAATAATGTGTTTTAGTTAAAACTATCATTTGATTAAACATTTAACACATGTAACTACTACAATGACTACTTTGAAAAAATGGATAAAAATGGAGGAACAAAATGAATTGAGGTCTTGAATTTTGCATAAAATTGAATAATAAACTAACTTTTATATTAAGAATAAAAAATACATTTCAAATTTTATGAACTAAAATCAAAGTGAGGTCAAATTTTAATAATTAAAAGTTGTGTTAACTTGATATTAAATATTATCTCTGGTATTAAATATAAGATCTATTTTGTAGTACAAATTACACTATAAAGTAGAGTTTATATTAAAAATTAGAGGTAGTATTAACATATAATAACTGATATTTTCAAAATTATTCTTAATTAAATAAGTGCACATTCTAATTCAATAGTTTGGCTACATAAAAAAAGTTTTTCCTTCAAGTATTAAGATAAAAAAATAAAGTGTAAAAGCAGCCTATGTCTTTGGAATGATGGTTCATGAGCACTTCATTTTTATTCATAACAATCTTTACTTTTTCTTTCAAAAGCAAAAAGAAATGTTGCAAACATCATTTTGTACAGTAAATACTTTCATAATCACTGGTATAAAAAATCCTAAGTAAACAAACCAGTGACATGTTAAGACTAGTTATATATTCAAAATACTGTACAATGAGCGTGAATTGGTAAGAAATGTTAGTATATAAAACATAAAGCTTATATAATTAGTTATGAAATGGGTTAATACTATTTTGAGTCCATCAAATTTAATTTCATTTTGTTTCTAATCCCTAAAATTTGAAATTTGTGACTTTACTCCTAACATTTGATTTCATTTTTATCTGTCTAAAGATTTTTTATCCTTAAAATAGTGTCTTGGGATCTTGAAACAAGATTTTATGGACAAAAAACCGTTGACTTCAAATTGCAAGATTTAAAATCAAAATGATCTCAAATTTTAGAGACTAAAAATATTATTAATATTTCTCATATTTATAGAATGTGACTTATTGTAGATTTAGTGGAAAATGGGGTTCATGAATATAATTTCAATCAACTGATCCCAAATTCATAATTTTTTTGAACAAAAAACCTAATTCGTACTTAGATACAATGATGTCATAAAATATATAAACCCATCAGAATTTTGACGCCATATTAAAAAAATCATTTTATTTCAAAAAATTATACAAAATTAAGATTTTTTCTGTGCTTGAAAAATAAAATTACCATACGAAAATTGTATAATTTATTACCAGTTATAGAATATATTTTTATTAAAACAATTAATTTTTATAATTTATTATAAAACGAAATTCCATAAGACATATTCATAATTAAGAATAATTCGATTTAAGTTTTTTATCCAATATTCCATATTGTTTAAGAATCTTTTCATTTTTATTAGGAAATTGGTAGTTATATTAAGGAAATAATTTTTATACATGATTAAATTATATATATACACATTTATTAGAAATAATTTTTATTTTGATTGAAAGTTCATACTTCATAGCATAAAAAACTAACGCTTGATCATTAATATTTTTAATGTTAAGAATAATATTAATACGATTTCAAACTTTTAAAATAAATTTATACCTTCTACACGAGTATAAGAGCTTTTTCAATTAACAATTTGTCCATCGCCATCGGATTGCACTTGCAGGCAACTTTGAAAACATATTTTGTGGCGGGCAAATTTTGCAACATAATTAATACAAATCAGAAATACTTAAAAAGTGGAAATGCACCACGTATTGGTATCGTAGCAGGATCACCTTTTTATTAAAAGTAGGAAGCAGGAAGGTGTGGACAGAAGATTGCAGATTAAAATTAAGATTAAGATTAAGATTAATTAATAATCTTGCCTTAATCAGGAAAAAATAGGAATAATTTTATTTAAATTGATGATTTTCAGATTTTATGATTTGCCGTGAAAGGGAGCATTGATTTGCGGGTAATGGAGGACAGTTAGGCTGATTCCAAAAGGGAAGGGAGGAGAGAGAGGGAGTGGGACCCACTGAGTCAGAGAGAGAGCGCGAGGGGGCATCCTTCCTCCTCATCATCATTATCATCATCATCATGTTGCTTGTCCCTCCCTCACTCCCTGCCTCATCCTCGTTTTTGCTGCCATCATTCCCCGCCAAAAATATCCCACAGGGGCACTCTCGTCATTTCATTAGTTTTAATCAGTGAGTGAACCATGATTTGAAAATAGATTTGTAGCTACTTTTTCCATCCTAATTTACAGAATATGAAGTAAGTATATAAAAAAAAATTTATCTTTATTTGTGTAAAATGTGTTTATAAGTGCTTTTAAACTTTATCTCAGATAGACAGATGATATCTCCATTTATTTTGTTTGTAAATTTATACTACATCCTATTCTAATTATAAAATCTTATTTATACACTACAAATAAGGTTTTATAATTAGAATTGGAAGTAGTAATTTTCTTCTTAAATTCATTTCTATGGTGATTTTATGTATTAAGGGGCTTTCTTGAAAAGATAGTTTTAATAATAATCAACTTAACTAATTTTTTAAAATTAATTATCTAGCTTTTATATTAAGAATTAGATATAGTATATCGTATTATCGACTAGACTCATTAGCAGCTTGCCATTTTTGTGATTGAACTAGAGTAATTTTTAGAAAACCAAACATGTTTTAGACCTGATGAAGAAAAGGTTAGAAAATTCAAAACATACATAATAAGTGATCCTCTCAATAAGCCTAATGTATTCTCAAATCATTTGTGGTTATATGATAATATTTAATTGAAAGTTTTGCATATTGTGTATTATTATGCTTATAATTAAACTTATTATAGTCTGGCAAAAAAAAAAACTTGTTATAGATTTCTTTATATATATGTTGACCTGGATTTCTTTATTTTACATGTAAATTATATGCATATAATCGTTTATTATGTTATTTGACCTATGATTTGGTTACAAGTGGGATTAAATATCGTAACCCCCAATCCCATTTGCATTAAAAAAAAAAAAAAGCTCACATTCTACTAGATTATAAGTTTATTAGTGAAGTTTGTCCAACTTTTTTAAAAGCATTGTTTTTTTTTTGGTCATAGTAGTTCTATAACTATTTATGCCAAAAAAATTCTATAACTAATAATGTGCTTCAGTAAAGCTGTAAAAAGGGACCGAATTCCCCTGCCCTTCAACTAATAATAGAGGGTGAAACTTATCAGACGGGATAGTTTACTTTATAGCTTTTAGTGTATAATAATTATTTATCTTTATATATATAAAATATAATCATGAACGTAATAATTTTTTATATTTTTAATTATATGGAACATTTTAAATTTTGATACTGAAGTTTTATACATTTAAAATTTTTGGCTTTTTCATATATTTTACATGTTTTAATGCCTTTTTTTTTTATACATACA